CAAAATGTCTGAGAATGGCAAGTATTAATAAAGTCTTGACTCTCTCTAGTTGCAAAGACAGTCTCAATTCTATTGAACAGGATGGGTTCATTTTGGTATGTGAACTATGAAACCTGCTCAGAAGAACACTTGAAAATGAGTCATGATTTCGAATATTGGTTGGCTGGCTGGCTATACCAAAAAAGAAGATAGCAGATCTTATAAATCCAATTCCTTAAGGAATACAAGGAATAAGAATAAGGAATTCTGCTTGTATACAAGTCAGACAAAATTAAATTTATGTATTTTTGAATTATTGAGCAAATTAATCTGTTGTTTTAAAATAGACATCTATTCACTAGTTGTCTTCAGAGTAGAAGATAAAAACAAAATTATCTTCTTTTCTAGCACAAGTTATCATAAGTGTTCTATAACTTACCTTGCTAACTGTGAACCATTTGATCGTCTATAGCTGATAAAAACATCGATTTTCTTTATCCGTCTGGCATCACCACCACTGTTACTTTCATCCGCAATAGGACAGACACCACTCTGTGGGAAGGCCATCACTGTGGATGAGAAGACTGTACATGTGTAAACAAGAAAAAAAAAAAATGATCATTAGAAGAAAAAAGTATCAACCCATTGTACCCAATCAGTGGGAGGTAATTCTATGACTTGACAAGCTTTTTTTTTTTCTTTAATCACATTTTCATAGAAAATAGTGGATAATACACTTGAAATATTTCTGCCATTCAGTTCTCTATTATATGTTTTGAAACTATATATATATATTTAAAAACAAAAGACAGTTAAATATATATTTAAAAAAAAAAACACAAAAAAAAAGTTATATATATATATATATATATATATATATATATATATATATATATATATATTTTGTTTCTAGGATACTATTCTAGTATTTAGAAGAAAAAAAAAATTGGTTAAAGATGTTGCAAGGATTTTTCTTTTTCTAAAGTTCATCCAATACAAGGCCCAAGAGCCCCTCAAGGTAGAGGGTTACTGAATGAGGTGTGTGATATGAATCTAAGAGGTGGAAGTATAAAGTAAAATATTAAAAAACAAAAACAACTTTTAGATATGTTGCAAAGGTGTACTCAATTTTTAGAAAAATAACAATTGAGAAATAATTTTTCTAATTGATTGAAACTTAAATTAACTATAATTTTTTGATTTTAGAAACATCGACTCTTGACATAAGCACATGACATTGATTTTATTTTGACACCTGATAAAGTTTCTGGATGTAGTCAAAATATTTGTGTGAATTACAAGCATCAGTTATTTATTTGTTTAGGCAGACAAAAATATCCCATAATACTAACAGATTGATTTTTCTAATTTTAAGATGTGCTTTTAAAATTGATTTCTTTATACAATAAGCAAGAACATAGTTTGGCAACCTTCGACCTTCATGCCTGCCAAAAGAAAAAGACAGTGTCAAAAAGGATGGTTTTTCCCTTGACACCACTATTATTTTAACTACCTTCGTAGTTTTCACTCCTCAGCAATGTTTGTTGTTTTAACAAGCAAGAATTAAAATTGAAATAAAACCTAAACACATGATGAAAGTGATTTTATATATATTTCTTTTCTGTTTTTGAGATTAAACAAATTATTAAACAATATACAGGGTGTTTAAATAAAGTTCGTGTGCACTTTAAAAAATTTGTTACTTTATTTGTATTTGCGATAGAAATAATCTGTAAAAAATGTTATAAAGTTTAATGTACCTAGTTTTAAGTATAGCTAAAATAACTAATGTCATTTCAGGCATTACTGTAAATCAGTTGGCAAATGTTTTCCGTGAACTGCAAAATCGTATTACCATTTGTATTGCTAATGATGGAAGACATGTAGAAACTTAAATAAAATTTCAATAAAACCTTAAAAAATATACTTCTATTTAATCCTTTTTACAAATTATTTCAATCGCAAATACAAATAAAGTTATAAATTTTTTAAAGTTCACACGAACTTTATGGACACCCTGTATATTAGATTGTTTATTTACAAGATTCTAAAAACTATTGTAATGCAATATTTATCATTTACTAATTTATAAAGAAATAAATATGAAAACAACTTTTTATTCATAAATTTATAAACATTTACTAAATTATTAAGATAATATAAAGAAATCCTTATTTGCCATTTTATAAGGTTTGAATCAATTGGCAATTAGTCAATATTTTGTCAACCATTCCAATATATATAATAAATAGTGTAAATAAAGATATTTAAACATCTTTAGTTTTAAGAATGTCTATTTTGCAAATATTGGCTAAATGTGATAAACAAGAAGAAACATTTTTTAGTATTGACCTTTTTAAATTTATTTTTTATCAAAATAAAACATTTTCTTTGTATTTACCCTCTAAAAACTAGAAAGAATACTCTGAACAATAGGAAGAAACTTAAGGACTAAATGATATATCTATAATATTTTAAATAGTATTTGAAATACTCCATCATACTACTTCTGTTCCAGTGCCCCACAGTATAATGCTATTCTAGTATTTAGAAAAAAAAAATCTTTTAAATATGTTACATAGTTTTTAATTTTTTTCATGTTGCAAGGCTTATTATTATTATTATTATTTATACATACATACACACACACACACACACACACTATATATATATATATATATATATTTATATATATATATATATATATATATATATTTTTTTTTTTACTAAAGTTCATGAGCCACTGGAGGTAGGGCATTACTGGAGTGTGATATGAGTGTAAGATGTGGAAATAGAAAATGAAGATTGCATAACTTGGAAAGGTTAAGATTGTAGTGTTCAGGAAGCATCCACATGGGAGTCTGTTCCACAAACTTAGCATTTCTTGGAAAGAACTTTGTACTCAGAAAAAAAAAAAAAAAGTATTTTTTTTTTTTTTTTAATTTTAAATTTTTATAATTGGCCGAAACTCACTTTGAAGTAACTGGACTCTCTTGGATTTTACAAGCATCAACATTTAACATAAGCACATGACACTGGGTTTATTTTGTATTGATAGGTCTGTGTTTTAAATGGTGTGTTTGAATAACCTCCCTGGTAAAAATGCTGTGACAATGCCCCATGGTAGTATCAAAGGGTTGATATATTATCCCTACAAATACCAGATGACCTTGCTGGATATACTAACGCTTTATGTGATCGATAATCTTTCGTCGGTGGATACTGTTTGTGATGCCACACTCTCGTTCTAATTCATCCTCACTTATTGAAGGTAGCACACTGCGATCAATGCCACATCGTAGCATCTGATATGTGTAGACAGAGAAATCTTCAGAGAGTTCCTTTAGCCACTCGTTAAGTCTTGAGTTGTCACAAGATGAATAATCGGCCGTTGTCTTCAACTGTTTCAGTTCTCTAAGGAACCTGGATAAAAGAAAAGAGTGTAAGATCAAATATCGATTAGAATCCAACAGAATGGATAACTTTTATTTAAGCTTCATCAGAAAATGAAATCTGGCGGAGAAAAGAAAATTCTGGTATTTTTATTTTTGTGTACCATATATATATTCACAGATAGATTGCACCATTAGTTTGGGATTGTCAAAGTGGGTATTTGTGGTTGACTCACAGATAGGTTATACTATAATCTAGGGAGTTACATGGCTCTTTTTGAATGTAAATATAACTAATATTTGTTAAGTAATATTTTTGAAACTCTAAATTTTCTTTCTGCAGATCCGTTTCCATGTTCTTCTGCATCTCTATCTATAAAAGGCAGGATGTGTGTGTGTAACAAATGCATGGCTGCAATTTTCGACGGATATGCACATGCTCCAAGTTAGCGGGAAGGCCAAGACCAACTTTGCATTTCCCAACTCCCATCGATAGTGGAAATAATCGATTTTTTTCTTGCTTCTACGGCAGTTTTCATGTAGTTTGTGGCCATTTTCTACTGCTCAGAGTGAGAGCTTATAGCTGGCTGCCACGAATAGGCAGGAAGATTCTTTTGGCCACTGTGAGAGCCAACAGCTGACTGACAGGAATGTTAACTAGCATGCAAAAAAATCAATAACTGCATTCGTCACAATTTAAAAAAAATAAAAACTGCAGATTGAGGGTTTCAATAATTGCAAGGAAAAGCAAGCGAAATAAAGATGAATAAAATCCTAGTAAAAAAATGAATGATTGATAATGCTTAATCTGATAACAATAAAATTCAAAGTAATATTACTATTAATGTGATAAAAAGCAGGTGAAATATAAGTGAAAGAAACCTTAGTCAAATTAAGGAATAATGGAGGACAATGCTTCATCTCATTTTAAACAATGAAGTTAATTGAAAAATAAGTGGAATCATACTTATTATAAAACCCAGGTTGTGTATGTGTCTGTTCGTTTATATATTGGATCGGATTTCCTACACTTTTCAACCGATTTCAACAAAACTTCACAGGACTACGTAAAATTACCTTGCAGTGGTTCTGACAGTGCAAAATATTGGAAAAACACAATTGTTTTTGCACAAAATCAATTTGAAAACATGATTAAGAGGCATTGCTGTCACGAGAATGAAAGGGGGACAACTCATATCGAGTTATACTTATTATAAAACCCAGGTTGTTTGTGTGTGTCTGTGTTCGTTTATATATGGGATCGGATTTCCTACCGATTTCAACAAAACTTCAGTTTTTTTTGGCAGGTAGTGTTTCTTATTGTCTTGCACACTTTTTTCTTTATTTTTACATTCAGAATGCTTTAAAAATTCCATTTACAAGACAATTGTTTATAATAAAATTCTATTCAATCGGTAGACTCATAACGATTGAAAACAATGTTTTTGTTTCAGTTTGGGTTTGACCAATTCGTAAAAAAAAACAAAAAACAAAACAAAAAAAAACTAATTAAGACATGCGTGTCCGTCAACCTTAAACAATAATCTTTGTCAATTTTATTTTTCAGTCTTTATGATGGTCGATACTTGACCTATCTCTTACTGTTACATCCCTGGGCAACGCCAGGCTCTACTGCTAGTAATTACTATAAATATTTAAATTACCAGGATAATTTGCTTATAAAGATTCAACCAAATGAAAAAATGTTGCATTTTTAAAATTTATGGATGTGTACATCATGTAGCAGTATATAATATCCTAAAATTTCTTCAAGAAATCAAACTGTATTCCAAAATATAACTTCAACATAAAACACACTGATCACCCCCTCTAGTAATCGTATACATGTAAAGGGTGTCGAATAACTTGGACCAATTTTAAATGTGAATTAAGTTTAAGCATCTAATATGATTTTTTTCTTTTTCTTTCAGATTTAACAACTTAAGTCTTTGGCAATTTCAACCATGGAAAGATTAACAATCAAATGTGTTAAAGTTATCGAAAAATGTATTGCAGGTAATTTTTTTTTTTTTTTTTTGTCATAAACTAAAATTGATGTTCAAGCAGAAATGCACTTTGCGATTTTTTTGGTCAACATAATCGACCAACCGAGAGTGCAATTGGAAACAATGTAACGTTGTTGGGAAGAGGTTCAATTCCTGTACATGATGACGAATAGAGGTGTCTAGATTTTCGGCCACATTCTCATGCATGCAGCAATGTTTTCAGTTGAACGGCGTAAACGAGCACGCAATGGCGTTTTTGCATCTGCCACAGATCCAGTTTGTTTGAATTTATGAACAATTTTTCCAGTTGCAAACTTGAAACTTTAACACGTTGTTTAATTGCTAATCTTTCCATGCTTGAAATTGCCAAAGACTTGTTAAATCTGAAAGAAAAAGAAAAAAAATCATAAGACACTTAAACTTAATTCACATTTAAAGTCAGTCCACGTTATTGGAACGCCCTTTTTATACACAAAAGCTGAGTATCATCTACCATGCATTCAACTGTTAAAGCAGAATAACATTTTTTTTACTTCAAAGCTCCCTCGAAAATTAAATTTCGGCATTAAATGACCCATAGAGGAGTTGATATGTCATTAAACACACATGCATACAAAATCATGCAGTAATTAACAGTGCAGAAACTGGGATAGGGAGTTCAAATTTCAGTTGATGCCGTTTCTGCACAAATGGCCTTGGCATGGTTTGAATGGAGTAATGGATAGCAGCTAAGATTGAGGAATCGGAGAAATGAGTTCGAATTCCAGTTAAATCCATTACCTTCACTTATGGGCTAATACCCTTGGGAAAGGTATGAATCCTCTTCTCCTCCCAGCTAGGTTCGGTTTGGGTTCTATAGCCTTGGATAGCAACTGGTCTACCTACTGTGGGAAAAAATCTGCCTTATTAGTCATGTATCGAAAGATACATGATTGTCTAAGTGTGAATCATGCATGGCACATAGCTGAAGTATCATATGATTATATATATATATATATGATATATAGTATCATACTTATAAAACCCAGGTTGTGTGTGTGTCTGTTCATTTATATATTGGATTGGATTTCCAACATTTTTCAATCGATTTCAACAAAACTTCACAGGACTACGGAAAATTACCTTGCGGTGATTCTGACAGTGCCAAAAATTGGAAAAACACAATTGTTTTTGCACGAAATCAATTTGAAAACATGATTAAGAGGCATCACGAGAATGAAAGGGGGACAACTCATATCGAGTTATACTTATTATAAAACCCAGGTTGTTTGTGTGTGTCTGTGTTCGTTTATATATGGGATCGGATTTCCTACCGATTTCAACAAAACTTCAGTTTTTTTTGGCAGGTAGTGTTTCTTATTGTCTTGCACACTTTTTTCTTTATTTTTACATTCAGAATGCTTTAAAAATTCCATTTACAAGACAATTGTTTATAATAAAATTCTATTCAATCGGTAGACTCATAACGATTGAAAACAATGTTTTTGTTTCAGTTTGGGTTTGACCAATTCGTAAAAAACCAAAAAAGAAACTAATTACGACATGCGTGTCCATCAACCTTAAACAATAATCTTTGTCAATTTTATTTTTCAGTCTTTATGATGGTCGATACTTGATCTATCTCTTACTGTTACATCCCCGGGCAACGCCAGGCTCTACTACTAGTCATAAATAAAACTTATGATGATAATAAAACTTAGACTTACTGTCTAGTTGAATGGGGCACAAGTACTTAAGATTGAATAATAAATAAAATTAATCTCAAAAACTGAATTAGTTTTTTTTCTCATTGAAAGAAATTTGTGACTCCATTGTGCCAAAATGTCATTGGGTGGCATCAGTTTTTAACTCTAAAAGAAACTGTTTGAATAGCTGGATAAAAAGACTCACCTCTTTCTGGTAATGCTTGGAGACATTTTGATGCTATCTTGCAGATCATATTCAGAAATCATAAGAAGGAGATCGCCATCGACTCGACAGTCTTGGAAACGGTCAGCATATTCACAGAATCCAATCTGGGACAATGAAAAAACAAAATAGAAGTATAAAAAATCAAAATGCTTCATGAAGCACTGATTGAGTTTAAATGAGGCTTTTTTTTTCTTTTTTTTTCTTTTTTTTTTTCTTTTTTTTTTTTTGGAGAAAACATTAATCTCATTTAAAGACAGTAGTAATGGTCAATCAGACAAAACTTGTTAACCATTACACCCTCTTAGTGCTTGTGTACACATAATTTTGCAGAAAAATAATAATTTACTTTTTGTGAAAATGATGGCTGAATATGAAATGCACATTTTACACTGTTCACATCTAAAATTTAATCTGCAGAAAAGTGTAATGGAAGCTGGGCAATACATGATTAAAGCTTGCAGTAGGTGCAAGCACGTGTCAGAAATAGTTTGTAAAGTTTAAAAGTGATTTTGATTTCAAAATACAAAAAACTCTGGAATTCTTTTTTCCCCCCCTTTTTATTTTCTCTCTCCCCTTTTGTCTTCGCTTTTCTCTCTTCCCTTTTCCTTTGCTTTACCCTTTCCGCTTTTTTCTTTGCTTTCCTCATCCCCTTTTTTCTTTGCTTTCCTCGCTTTCCTCATCCCCTTTTTTCTTTGCTTTCCTCATCCCCTTTTTTCTTTGCTTTCCTCATCCCCTTTTTTCTTTGCTTTCCTCATCCCCTTTTTTCTTTGCTTTCCTCATCCCCTTTTTTCGCTGCTTTTCTCTTTCCCCTTTTTTCTTTGCTTTTCTCTTACCCCTTTTTTCTTTGCTTTTCTCTTACCCCTTTTTTCTTTGCTTTTCTCTTTCCCCTTTTTTTTTTGCTTTTCTCTTTCCCCTTTTTTCTTTGCTTTTCTCTTTCCCTTTTTTTTTTGCTTTTCTCTTCCCTTTTTTCTTTGCTTTTCTCTCTTCCTTTTTTTTTTTTTGCTTTTCTCTCTTGCCTTTTTTTTTTTGCTTTTCTCTCTTGCCCTTTTTTTTTTTTTGCTTTTCTCTCTTGCCCTTTTTTTTCTTTGCTTTTTCTCTCTTGCTTTTTTTTTCTTTGCTTTTCTCTCTTGCCCTTTTTTCTTTTTTTTCTCTTGCCTTTTTTCTTTGCTTTTCTCTTGCCTTTTTTTTCTTTGCTTTTTTCTCTTGCCCTTTTTTCTTTGCTTTTCTCTTTCTTTTTTTTTCTTTGCTTTTCTCTCTTGCCCTTTTTTCTTTGCTTTTCTCTCTTCCCTTTTTTTTTTCTTTGCTTTTCTCTCTTGCCCTTTTTTCTTTGCTTTTTCTCTTGCCCTTTTTTTTCTTTGCTTTTCTCTCGTTTTTTTTTCTTTGCTTTTCTCTCTTGCCCTTTTTTTCTTTGCTTTTCTCTCTTGCCCTTTTTTCTTTTGCTTTTTCTCTCTTGCCTTTTTTTTTTCTTTTTTCTCTCTTGCCCTTTTTTTTTTTCTTTGCTTTTCTCTCTTGCCCTTTTTTTTCTTTGCTTTTCTCTCTTGCCTTTTTTTTCTTTGCTTTTCTCTCTTGTCTTTTTTTTCTTTGCTTTTCTCTCTTCCCTTTTTCTTTGCTTTTCTCTCTTGCCCTTTTTTTCTTTGCTTTTCTCTCTTGCCCCTTTTTCTTTGCTTTTATCTCTTGCCCTTTTTTTCTTTGCTTTTCTCTCTTGCCCTTTTTTTCTTTTCTTTTCTCTCTTTTTTCTTTGCTTTTCTCTCTTGCCCTTTTTTTTTTTTTTCTCTCTTCTTTTTTTTCTTTGCTTTTTTCTCTTGCCCTTTTTTTTTCTTTGCTTTTCTCTCTTGCCTTTTTTTTTCTTTGCTTTTCTCTCTTGCCCTTTTTTCTTTGCTTTTCTCTTGCCCTTTTTTTCTTTGCTTTTCTCTCTTGCCCTTTTTTTCTTTGCTTTTCTCTCTTGCCCTTTTTTTCTTTGCTTTTCTCTCTTGCCCTTTTTTTCTTTGCTTTTCTCTCTTGCCCTTTTTTTCTTTGCTTTTCTCTCTTGCCCTTTTTTTCTTTGCTTTTCTCTCTTCCCTTTTTCTTTGCTTTTCTCTCTTGCCCTTTTTTTCTTTGCTTTTCTCTCTTGCCCTTTTTTTCTTTGCTTTTCTCTCTTGCCCTTTTTTTTCTTTGCTTTTCTCTCTTGCCCTTTTTTTTTTTGCTTTTTTCTTCTCTTGCCTTTTTTTCTTTGCTTTTCTCTTTTGCCCTTTTTTTTCTTTGCTTTTCTCTCTTGCCTTTTTTTCTTTGCTTTTCTCTCTTGCTTTTTTTTCTTTGCTTTTCTCTCTTGCCCTTTTTTTCTTTTGCTTTTCTCTCTTGCTTTTTTTTTCTTTGCTTTTCTCTCTTGCCCTTTTTTTCTTTGCTTTTCTCTCTTGCCCTTTTTTTCTTTGCTTTTCTCTCTTGCCCTTTTTTTCTTTGCTTTTCTCTCTTGCCCTTTTTTTTCTCTCTCTCCGTTTTCTTTTGTTATGATTCACTATTCGTCACTCCTCTGTCTTCAATGCTACAATACATATAAACACATGCACAATAACTAAAACAAAAGGGGAGAAAGAAAAAAAAAGATACTAACAGAAAACCGGCAAAATAAATTACAGACATATTACATTAAGACCTAATAGCCACTCCTTCAACTTACTAAGAGACAGTTGCTTAGATTTAATATGTGAGGTTTCAAATGGGGTCTTTTTTCTTTTTTCCTTCACCAATTTACAGAGTAATATTTTTTTTCTTATCCTTACACTTCCTCACCTTTTATTTTAATATATTTGTATGTATGATGTGAATATATACTTTTAAGATATTTGCTTTTAAAACAAAAATAATATTTTGTAATCTTCATTTTTTGTATAAATCCTTCCAGTCTAAAGTTTCATTTTTGAAATAAAGTTGATTAGATTTAGGTTATGAGTTGAATATTGTATGCAGTTTGCTTGATTTAGGGATGTGTTTGTCAATGACTTCAAGAAATAATTAATGTCTGATGCTCCTGCTATATATTTAAAGTTTCTTGATAAAATACAAAGAATCTGCAATGTTATTCATCCTGACCTGGCATCTCAGCTACAGTCACTTTCCAATTGCCCTAACATAGCTTCCCTGTGCCGTTTCTATAAATACTTTCATGGTAATTGTTCTAATGAGCTTTCCTCTATGGTACCTAGACTTTATGAATTTAAGCGCAGTACTAGATTGGCAACTAGGTCTCATCATTTTGCAGTTGAAATGGCTCCATGTAACCATAAGTTCTATGCTAACAGTTTCTTTTCTTGCATTTTATGCTTCCCACTCATCTTTGATCTTCAAAAATTTAAATGCAACATTATCTAGTGTCTTCTTGATTCCTCTTCTTTTATTGTTCTTGTTCCTTAATAATGTTTTTCTTTTCCTATTCTTTTGCACTCAGTAACCACTTATATATTAGTGGCTTTTATTGCCTTGCTTGGGGTGAAATAATTAAAAAATACACGTTTTAAATCAAGGTACAAAGACTTCACTTTGATTCTTGACAATGACTGAAGTTGGTCAGAAGCATAAAATACTTAATAAACAGACATGAAGTATGGACAATCTTAACAAATTATTATAATTCTGCTTGTTCCTTAGATGAGTGACCACTTGGATGTGTGGGTGGTGTAATAGATAACATCTCAAAATTGGAAATCAGAGTTCCAATTCCACTCGGGTTTGCTATATTTACTCATGTGCAAATAGCTTCGGAAAAGGTATGAATCCACTTCTTCTCCCACCCACAGTTATTGGTTAATTACTATGACTTGTTTCAGTAAATCAATACCTTCAAAATCTCTTAGAAGCTAAAAATATTTCTAACACACAAAAGGTTGATAAACTGTAAAAAAAAAAATAAACAAACAAATCAATTGATCTCAGTGCATTGCCGTACCAATATCTCATAAATAATGGATTATTTTGCTTTGATCTTGAGGAAAGGTAAATCCAAGACTCTGCTTGAGAGGAGGAGAGAAACTGATAGTTGGGAAATGATTTTTAAAAAAAAAAAAAAAGGAAAATTTCAGATATATTTCCCCATATTCTTTGAAGCCCAAGCCTCAGGGGGCCATCCCCACAGGCTTTTCCTCTACCTTGGGAGGAGGAAGGGGGCGAGTTTATTGTCAGGCATCCCCGAAAAACCCCATCCAAGGAGGTTTGTGAATTTTTCTACAGTACTGCCGATAAACCCACTTTAAAAAAAACATGACCCTGTGTCACATCTGAGCGCGCTGGTAAGTACTGATATATTTTCCAAAGAATAAAAAGATATTTGTAAAGTAAAGAAAGAAAGTTAGCTAGTTAACTTGGGTTTAACTTCTACTCCAGTGAAATGGAAAAAAAACTTATCAATTTTTAATCTTTTCATTTGTACCCCCTTACTTCTTTAAATAATAACCTGCATTCATACTTAAGATTGTTATTACAACATTTTGTTAAGCTCAAGTATGCGCAAGTTGCAAGGAACTATTTCTGTCATCAAATTAAGAATTATGACTTCTCAGAAAATTGAAAACAAACCATGAAAAAAGGAACAAAAAACTATTATGAGAATAGACTGATAAAAAAACATTGAAGGCCTTGTTTGGTTTTAGGAAAAAGAATGGAAGATAGAAGATTAAATCTTTTCATTTGTACCCTCTTACTTCTTTAAATAATGACTTGTATTTGTACTTAGGATTGTTATTGCAAGATTTTGTGAAAGTTGTTAAGCAAGCTCAAATATTTAACAAATATTTAACAATACAATAAAGGAATTTCCATGGGTATTTTATAAATTTTTTTTTTTTTCATAGAAGCTTATTTAATTGTTAAGAATTACGTCTCATTAGAAAATTTAAACAGCAAAACCGCAAAATGTTCACAGGTACTCCTAGTAGAAAAAAACATTTTAGAATATAACTTGCACAGTTTGTTTATTTCATTTAACAAAATGTGTTCATACTGAAACATACACATCTATATGGTGATACACATTTAT